CATTAAAGTCTAATTAAATTCTAAATTGTTCTATTCAAAACTTGAATATTGAGATTGCTTTTCGATTTTTGTTGATCAAAAACAATATTGTATTAGGAATAGATTCATAAATCATTTCTTCCTTGGCGTGTATTAATAAATAGAAGGACGCATTACATTATTGATTGAACATAACTTTGTGTTGTAAAATCCAAAGGAAAGAAAATGAAATAATGGGCCGACAAGAATCCTTCTTTTTTTCAGACATGAGATTATGGGTCCTAAGAATTTTCCCAATAATCGATTCAAATGTTTTCATGCATATTCCAAACCAACATGTGGAAGCTGTCCACTCCACTCCTAAGTTTTTTTCAATTTTCCTTCTTTTAATAAATAAATTATCTTCAAAATGTTGCTTTTTAAGCAATTGTCATGCACTATGGAGACACTCTTATCTCTTACCTAATTTGAATTATGGGTAATTCCAATTAACATTACAAAATTTTTAAATATCGGTTGGAAAGTGAGCTGATTAATTACTAATTAGCTTGTTAATCTACGAAATATTTTATCCGTGGCGGATTCAGAATTTCTTAGTTATGAGTGCTTAACTATTTGTAATTTAAAATTAATATCAAAATGGGAGCTTAATTTACACAAATTATTTCAGTGTAGTCTCAAAATGTAATGGATGCTCAAGCACCCATGCACTTGAATGTGCATCCGCCACTTATAATAATTTTACGCACAAAAGTATACACGAGATTAAAGTGATCCAATGGTTTAAAATTTGTAATTACGAGTATGAGATACATATATCTTTATCTTAATATTTTATTTTTTGATAAATTATTTATATAACCAGACAACATCTAGCGATCTTTCAAGTATAATGAAACAAAATCCTCATTGTGAACCAATTAAGGAAAGCTAGGTTTTATCTTATTTTTGCTTAATTCATTTTGCAAGTCGAATATAATAAAAGTTGCGAATTATTTATCTGCTCAACTTATTCTAAATTGATATGAATAACCAAAAATTCTATAAAAAAAATAAAAATTTACGTTCAATATATTTACCCATTTTGAATTAGTTCCCAACAACTGTCAAAGTTAGTTTGACTGCAAAACCATTCCCATCTGTGGGAGAACTGCCCTTATCAACTAACTGTAAAACTTGTTTTTTATTCATTTGAAAATGATTCTTATATATATATATATATATTTAAAAAAAAGGAACTTTTCAATGAGGAAAAAGAATTTGTGGTGGTGGTTGAGGAAGGAAGTAATTAATTAGAGGGAAAATAAATGAAAGCTTAATTAATTTGTATGCGTTTTGTCGCTTGTAGCTTTCTTCATGCACATGGGAAGATACCTTTGATATTAACCACCGAATTTTGTCCAAATTAAACATATAGAGTATAGACCAAATTAAAGGCATTTCAATTTATTTATTATTATTATTAAAAGGCACTCAATCATAACCTCCTAACTCTTATCCCTCTCATATTAAAATTGAACAACTAATTGGGGAAATAATTAATTCGGATGACAAAGTCATTAGAGGAATTAATTAAGCTGTTTCATAGTCAATTACTCAATTAATTATATTTCATTTGACAATATAATTAATAAAATATTCTTTCTGTCTTCAATCTTTACCAATCTAAAGCTGCAACCAACTCCAACTTCCAACCTGTATTCAACTATAAGTGGATTTAATTAAGATTATATTCTTTCAAGTTTTAAAAACGTAACACGGAAACTCTAATTGATTTAATATTAGCATATCAAAAGTGTACAAATTGTACACGAATAGGAATGAGAATATTAAGGGGACACAAAGTTAACAGCATTGAACAGACTTTTTTCGCTACATATTGATGGGACGACATTTCATGTACGTGGCATTAATTGTGTTTATCTTAAATAAAACAATATAATAATAGGAAAGGAAATAATCTTAATTCCTCAAACAAAAACGTATTTTTATGGAGAAGTTAGTTAAAAGCATTGATGATTAAACTAGCCTTAGAAGTATAATTAATTTATTTGAAGCACCGACTAGATTAATATAATGTAGGGCCGCTAATGAAGCAGAAGCTGCCACCCACCCATGTGCCCCAAAATCAGCATATATTTGGCAGGCGCCCCTACCCATTCTATAACCACCTTTATGAATCTAAACAATTTAATATTATTATCAACCAAATATATATGTTATTTAACCAGACTTATAGGATTAGAGACAAAGTTATACAAAAACAAAATGTGAATGACTTCCATGACAAATAAGATTAAAAAGAAAATATTCCAAAAAATGAGAACAAAATATATAAAGATATCTATAAAAGGTGCGAGGTGTTAGTAATAATGAATTTTTTTAAAAAAATAAAGATAGAGCAAAAAAGAATCGAAGAGAGTATGATATATTTAAACTCACTTGGGACATGTCATGTAACCAAATATTATTACACTTTTATGCGAAAAAGTAGTAAGAATAGGCTAGTCTCATTTTCTCCTTCCTTAATATTCCTTCTAAAATAAGTTGCGTGATAGAAAAATGAGTAAAAAATTTATGTACTCCAATTCTTTTTAACTATATTCTTATATCGAAGAAGTTATTCTTTTTAATCGTATTCAATTCTCAAAAAATATGTAATAAATAAAAAATAATTAAATAAATTATATCTTGTAATTACATTATTTTTAAATTAAACATTTATCTTATTCTCATTATTTTTTTTATGGATTTTAATTTAGAAATTAAAAACCCTATTTTTATAATATCAGATATATTCGTGATAATGATAAATGTTAATTCCATTGAATGTTATGAACTATCTAAGGTATGTCTATATGCCTTGGAACTGACATATAAATTGTTATATTTTCTTATGGGATGTCCAATGACTTGGTGTAAAAATGTCGTTACGCTATCCTTCATGATAAAATGAATATCTATCGTCTCATAGTTCACGCTCAACGAATGGAAGAAACTAGAAATAGGGAGGCCAAGAAGGCCAAGTCTTATGAAGGTGGTTCTCTAAGGATAGACCAGCCCATGTTCAAGAAGATATTAGTCCTAGGCCTTTTTAAGGACGACGACACTGATTACTTCTAGGGTGTTTTCAGATATGACAAATTTGATATCATTAAAATTGAAATTGCAAAAAGATTAAATAGTCATTAGCTACTGAAGTTGGAATTGCAAGGATTTGGGTAGTCATTAGCTTTTTGGTTGGGATCATCAGAGAATTTCTAAATATATAAATGGTAAAATATATCTTTTTCAATCGATACAATATAATATTTTTGATAGTGAACAATCATAAACAGTAAAATTTGCGAATATATGCACAATAGAGTATATTTTTTTCAATAAACAATATAACATTTATTAAAGTGGGTCATCATGAACTGTAAATTTTGTAAATATATGAACGATAGAATATATCTTTTTTAATGAACATTATAATATTTCATGTAATATTTTGCAATAAAATAATAAGCATATATAAGTGATTGTACGGTACAAAACAATACAAATATTTAAATCTCGTTTATTAAATATAGTTTTGTAAACTTTTTTAATAAAATCAATTATTATACAGAACTATCAAAATTATTCTAAAAGCGTTTTAGAAAAATTAAAATTTTAGTTCATTGAATATGTCATATTATTTATTTTTTACTTATATAATATTTCATAATATTTTCAAATACTAAAATTCTTACCTTTATAAGACATTCAAAGTTAAAATAATATTTTTAAAATTTAATTATTTGACAATCTAATTGTTTGAGCTTGAAATTTTAAATCTCAAAGAATTAAAGACAATTATACACGGTCAATATTAAAATATGATTGATCCAAATTGAAGTGAGTTAGAGAAACTTAGAAATAATAATTATAAATTTAATTGTGTACAATTTTTAATTATATTTCCATCAATTATAAAATTTTAAAAATATATACCTAATAAATAATAAGAGATTAGCAACAAACCATTAAAAATAATTTGATTAATACTGCCTTCATTCTTTTATGGACTACCATATATATAACAATTAAAAAAGAACAAGTAATAATAAATACTTAAGTTTTTATATTCTACTTAGTTATCTCTTTTATGTGTGTATCATTTCATCTGCGTTTGACTCTTCGTTTAATCTTGCCTCTTAATTTGTTCTTCTTTTTTTTTTCATTCTTTTTTTTTGCATCTTCAGTATATTTTGGTAACTGAATTTGGAGGTTATTCCCCTTAATAGTGCTAGATTCTCAAGAGTATCTAATAAATAAAAGTATTACGTTTTTCTTTCGCTATTATTCGTAGTGAATTTTATTTTTAAAGTTAAATTACAAGATTTGAAATTAACATTTTAAGATGTATTCTTTATCATATTGAAATGCAAAAAAATTACAGTTTATAATATTTCTCATATAATTTTTGAATATCTAAATTTTTTGTTTAAAATATTAAATAAATGTAATCGAATTTAATTTTAAAAATTAACAAAATTAACTTTTGAAACATATAACATGATACATAAAAATGAATAGAGAGAGTAACAATTATTATTTTCTTTACGAATTTTAAATTATGATCTATCTCTGGAGGAATAGATGGAGAGTAGTATTATTAAATATTCAGGTATCTCGTTCTTCTTCTTTCTTTTTTTTAACTATTATATATTGTTTTATTTTGTTTTGTTCATCTTGTTATTTTATTTTTGTTCTTTTATAATTGATGTATTTAAAAAATTGAAAATCTATCATAAACAATTTATCTATTTCACCAATATCTTTTAACTATAAATTACAAATCTTAATTATTTGATGTGTAAACATGGATGCAAGTGTATGTTTTTTGGGCCCACATATGTTTATCGTTAGCTATGATAATGAAGTTAGTAATAAATAATTGCTAAGCATGTTGGCTACTTTTATGTCTTTCTCAGTTTGCTATTTGTCTCCATACGGGCCCCTCTATTTCATCCTATATATAACTATCCAATTCATCCACTTTCTCTAAGCCAGCCCTTTCTTAACAACTTTTATATTTTTATAAGTAAACGAAAATGATCAAGTTGAGATGCAAAAAGTTCTTCAGAAGCAACTCAAAGGTTGCAAGTAGTAATGCCGTCGTAGCAGATACCAAATTAGGTGGTGAAATAAAATGGGAATTACGTCCAGGAGGTATGTTGGTACAAAAGAGAGAATGTGCAGAGAATGATGGAGATTCAATTATCACACTTAGAGTCTCTACTGTAACTCAATGGCATCACATTTCTATACAACCAACTTCATCTTTTGGTAACTTCTCCTTTTTTGGGTCACTTTTACTGTCAAAATACTTTTAACTAGCAGGTCATAATCCAATTTTTTTTTTGAAAGTTTTATTAACTTTTTCCAACTATAATTCCCAGTTTTAAATTTGGTTTTGTGTATTTAAGTTTTGTCCGAGTCAAATTACACTATTTTGACCGACTCAAATAGTAGTCATGTAATTTGTGAAGTCAAACAGATATAACTTGTTACCAATTCATTTAAACTTAACTAGATTTTTGCATTGTTCTAAACTAGTTGTGGTTTATTGATGACAGGAGAATTAAAGATGGTATTGGCAATGGTAACTGGTTTAGAACCAAATGAGCAAAGACTATTATACAAAGGGAAAGAAAGAGAGGATTGTGAATACTTGCACATGGTGGGGGTGAAAGACAAAGACAAAGTGTTACTCTTTCAAGATCCATCTATCAAAGAGAGGAAACTTGCAACAAATGGACATGTCCAAGATATAGGATCCACTTACCACACCATTTGTGTCTAATGAGTAACATTATTAGTGTGTGCAATTTCTTGCCTTTTCTTTAAAAAACTAACCCCCTCATCCCCCTCCACTCCCCTCCTCATCAAGAAAATGAGTGATGATGGATCAAGATTGGTGATAAGTATATGCTCACCAACTTAGATCGACTAGATTATGTGGTTGTTTTTATGGTGTGTAATGCCAAATTTTAATTTTATATGCCCTGGTAGCATATATCAAAATTCAAAATTAATGTGTAATCTACTCCAGCATCTCGATTAGGTTATCGAGTTTGTAAATGTTTACTATACTAATTTTAATTTTCTACTTTAATGTTTTATTATTTTCACCGTTTGAACATATATGAGACATCTCTAATAAGCATATATTAGGGCCCCGTGAAACTAATCGTAGTGCACCCGCCTTGAAATAGCGGGACTCAATGGATACAGCTAATCGGGTTTGAAAAGCGATATCCAAAAATCACGGTAAAAAAGAAAGAAAAAAAAAGAAGAAGTGTGATAGAGACTTTTTATATTAACGGAGGGATTCTAACCATTTCTTTTTTTATTTAGAGTTTTATTCTCAAAGCTCTAGTTTGACGGAAAATAAGTTGTTTATAAATTAATTATTCAAAATTATGATTTAAAAACAACATTATAATCAATTATTTTACAATTCAAATTAAACACAAAAAAAAAAAATCATATCAAAATTAATTAATATTTTATCCCTCGGGTCTCCTACACGGCTAGGTTGAATATATGGCTTATGGGGCACACAAAGCAATGGAGTAGTGGCGTGCATCATTTAATAATGAAAAGTTGAGCCAAAAAGAAGAGATACAAACAGAATATTCACCTTTAAAAATATGGCATATTTAAGGAAGATTTGATAAAGAAGGAGGAGTAGAATTTACATTTTCTATATTGATCGGTCCCTATTTTACTAGTGAATATAATGTTGTTTGTTTTTATAAGTTGACGCGTGATGCTTTGTTTAAGAAGCAAGTAGGGAGGGACCCCAAATTCACTTGCAAGTTGATTAGTGAATTGTGATGTTTGACAATCTGGAAAGCAACATTATGTTAGTTTATTGGTAATCGGTCTTAATTTTAGATAAGAGTTCGGTGTTTCACGTTGTTTGGTCAGTCTATTTCTAACTAATGTAATTACTTAATACTCCAATTTCCTCTCACTTGGATATATTGAAACCTTATAAGTTATCTATCGTCTAATCAATTAAATGAATTTTTTCTTCTTCAAGAATTTCTTTTTTCATGAAAACTAACACGTCCTTGCCTTTGGGATTATGACCGTTCAAAATTGAATTGAAATTATCGATTTCGAACGAATTTTTTTATTAATTTATCAATATTTGAAATTTGTTAACGGTTTTAATTTTTTTTAATTAGGTTATCGATTTTTAATGGTTTGAGTATAAATTCGCTAGATATATATATTTGTCGGGTTTTAAAATTGAAATATGTATTTTATTTGTCTAAATTAATAGATTGTAACTGCTTTCCCTAATTAGAGGAGTAATTAAGAATTTTCACAATACATGGAGATTTAATTGTGAAAATTTAAATGAATTGAATTCCTTAATATAAGACGGAAAATTAAGTAATTTATCCATATTTGATTAATTTCATTTTATTATTCTTTGAAATAATAAATTTATTAGTACTACTAATAGAGGCAAAAACATGTATATCCCCGTCATGTAATTTGATTACTTAATATATATATATATATATATATATATATATATATATATAAGGGTAGACCGCTGAGGGGATTCACCCGAACATCATTGGCAAAAAATTACGTTGCATATTTAAGATATTTTAATTATTTTTATATTTATTTATTGATTTTGAACCTCCTGAATATAAGATTAGAGGTTGACTTAGTGGCCTAGGATTCTTAAATCACTACTCTTTTTTTCGAAACCTCTTACTGGAAATCCTGAATCACCACTATATATATATATATATATTATGTATCCCACAAAATAAACATACATGTGTATCATAGAAATATCTACTATTAATTTCATTTATTTGTTATATATGTCTAGTATTAATTCATGTATCTATTAATATGATGTAATATTAATTTCATGTATTTAGTTTAGATGATCTAATTTCAATTTCATATATCCATTATTAAATTGATATATCAAGTACCAATTTCATAAATTATATTAAAAAAGAAACAAAACATGACCGGATACATAGTAAGTATATTCATATAACTATGTGTATCTAAATTTGAAAAGTAAGTGAAACACACGAGTTTAGAAACAAATCACAATGTGTATTACCTTTTATAAGACTCACCCAATTCTGAAAATGGTCAGCTATTAATATGTTTGAGAAACATTAAAATGGAAAAATATAATACCTAAATTTTTAGAACTAACTTAGATACAATACCAAGGTATGAAAGATAATTATCAAAATCATATTTAAGAGATTTGTTTATCTGTTTAAATTTTTTAAAATATATGATATCAATATTACAAGTAATAGTATGCATAATAATTTTAATTTTAAACTAAAGATAAATATAGTATACATGATAATAATGTCTGTATAGTTAGATAGTTTTACGTTTATTATAATGACATAATACATAAGCACGATTCTTAACTAGGCTTGAACGAATAACTATGCCCTTCAACTTTGAATGTTCACAAATAGACACTTAATTTAGTATAAAATTGTACAAGTAGTCACAAGTGTCCTACACGACAAAATACATATAAGACGTCATATAGAATACAAAATTACTACGTAGGATGAATATATTCATTTACTTAATTTTATACAATTTTAAGTCTCTATTTATACACACCCAAAATTTAAGATCATAATTGTCAACTGATATTAAATTAAAAATTATGCGTATTTTAGTACAAATTTGATCTTATCCGCCTATTTAATACCCTCACGTGTTTTCCAATTGCCATGAGACCAGAAGTATTTGACAATTTATCTTGTTTGTTGTTTGGGCTTAGAAAATGAAAGGGTAGTCACCATGGAGTGGCCCAATAACAGGTTAATGCCATTATTTGACAAGTTGTGTCTTCCTTTTCCTTTAGTCCTTGTTAGTTGTTATTTGTTTCCACTCTATTTTTTCTACAGTTTTCAAACAAAATTGCCTTACGTTTCTACCTTATTTCATTTACTCTCTTTCTAATATTTGTAATGTTAAAATTTGTCATCTTACTATACACATTAATAGAATCCAAATTGTAATATAGTTGCTATAAATTGTCACAAAAATAAATAAACCCAAATATTCGTAAAAAAAATTCTCCATAATAAATTTTTACAGTGTGAAATAGATCTATTTTCTTATCCCATAATCATCTATCCATTACACTAAAGTACACTCATATTCATTTGTACTCCACGATTAAAGTTAAATAGAAAGACAAGCTGCTGGCTATGATTCAATTTTTAAGAAAAACGTTAACCCTTACGTACTTCATGGATTTTACCAAAATGAATTAGTGTAGTTGTAAGACTATTTTTCACAAGTAAATTACACTTAATCAGACATATGAAACTTAAAATTTAAAATTTTTACTCTTAATAGGAAGTATAAAATTTGAAATTTATATAATTGTGAGACTACTTTTCACACGTACACTACTCTTAATCAAACTTAAATTTTGAAATTTTTACTCTTAATCAAAAGTATTAAATTTGAAATTTTAATTTTTTTTTTCTTAATCAAAAGTGTCAAATTTGAAATTCGAAATTTAACCAATATGAATTAATCAAAATGGACCATGCAATATTAAAGAAGACATAATACATATATTAGACTCTAAACTTGACTTCAAATTTTAACTTTAACCTTCAACTTTCATAATGTAGAAACAGACACTTAAACTATCCAACTTTTAAATAAATAAACACATGAGTTCTACATGGCACAATACACATGAAACACTACGTAGGACAAAAAATGACATGTAGAATGTGTGTCTATTTGTTCAACTTTATAGAAATTTAACTGTCTATTTGTCCAAATCCAAAGTTGAAAGACGTAAATGTGATTTGAAATCAAGTTAATGAGCCGGGTAAACTTTTTATAAAATTTGAACAATTCTCCTCTCTTTGAACTAATTTTTGAAGTGTGAATACCTAATTTTGCTTGGACAATTCTCCTCCCTTTGGATTAATTTTTAAAGTGCGAGTATCTAATTTCCGTGAGGTGAAATGTTAAAACTTCTCTTCACAAGGACTTTATTCTTAATTAAAAGTCATCAAATTTGAAATTCAAAAATTTTAGCCACATGAATTATGATGTAATTGTCAAGACTCGAAATAGTTACAATGATATTATGCACCCTTGATTGGGTGCTACAATGCGTTGGACACCAATGTTCTTAGGGAAAAGAATTTGAAACAGATCCACTGATTAAAATAGTTCATTATTTTTACTAGTAGCCTGACCTGATTCTATATTTTTTGACATATTTATAGGAAGGTAAGGAAAAATATAACAAATTCAGATGCTAATATTCATTTATTAATCACAGGGAAAATCATAGAAAACATATAAAAACATGGAATCAACAGACGATTTATTTATTCATTCGAATTGCAATCCACAATAATAATAACTTAAAGTTCATGTTTATTTTTCTTCAATTTCAATTACTTTGGAGAAGGGTTTTTTGAGTTGTTGTTTAGGTACGGTGAGAACAAGGACACCATTTTCCATGGATGCCTCGAGTCGATCTGCCATTATATTTTTTGGAAGCCTAAACTTCCTGCAGAAATCACCCCTATTACGTTCCACTCTATGCCATAAATTCTTCTTCTCATTTTCATCTCCAATTTCTTCTTCTGCTTTCCACTTACCACTAATTTTCACTACTCTTCCATTGTCCACTTCCACTTTCACATCCTCTTTGCTGAGCCCTGTATGTACACAATATATACTCTTTCTAACATTTTTAATAAATAAATACACGTGTCCTACATATCATACTACATGTCAATTTTTATCCTACATGTATTGTGTCATATAGGATTCATGTGTTTATTTATTTAAAAATTAAATAATTAAAATATGAAAATCGAAGATTAAAGTTAAAATATAAAACCAGTTTAAAATCCAATATATGTATTATCCCTATTAAATTGTTAAATCGTTTAAATTAATACCTGGAAGATCGACGAAGAAGCAGTGAGCTTGAGATGTTTCTTTCCAGTCAATTGGAGTACTCAAAACAGGACACATATTCATCATCCCAACAATTGGATCACTGCTCCTCAATAAGCTGCACATCTTTGTTTTCCCCACTTAAATCAGCTAATTAATTGTATTTCCTTGTTGTCTTCTGTGGAATAAATTGAAACTTTGCACAAGTATATATAGTTGGTGAAAAAAGACAGTTCAAATGGGTCTTGAAACTTCTTGGATCGTCTTAACGTGGATAAAAGAAAAACATCTAGCATGTTCACCTATAAATAATTAAAAAAAAAATATTCGGATCATTCTAAAAGCTTCCATCTTCTACTAGTACTCGTATCAAAAGGTAGTGCTACTTTTCATCTTATTGATCCATTTAACTGCCACGTGTCTTTGATTAAATAAGTAAAGTAAAAAAAATTAAAAGAAAAAGAGTCATTTGCTAAAGGACATGTTTTATTTTTCTATCAATTTGTAGTATATTTATTTCTCTATAAAATCTATAAGTTTGAAGTATATAGCAAAAGGCTCATTTGAATCCAAATTTTCTTGATTCGTTATAAAATATAACTTAAAGTTTACATGCATATGTTTATTCTATTTATGATTTAAATTATTAATGTTAGAAATATCAATAGATACATGAAAAATTGATCTCTGAAATTTATGAATGTCCCGTTAATTAGTTTTTAAAGGAAAAGAAAAATACTACTTACAAGTTTGGTACAATATAATTTTGAAATGGTCAGTTTCGGTTACAAGTAGAAAATTCAAATAATACAAATCCTAATAAAGTGCAATAAAAGGAGGCCCTGCATCCATTAATTTCAGTGTTAAATGACAAAACAATCAAGGACTTTTTGCTATTTGAAAGCTAACAATATTTTATCTGAAACAAATTGAACTCTTACATATATATTTCATTGACTGACAAGAGCTCCTTCTCCTTTGTAACAGTTTATATATCAAGACTACAATACACATACTGGTTTACTTCTCCAACTGAGGCACTTCAATCCCTCTTAACAAATCTCCCCTGTAAAAATTATAAGACATGAATGGACGAATACTTTATTTATTTCACCAACATGAATCAATAATGTATTTTACGTACCTTAACGCGAGGGCGTTTTTCAGCGTTGAGCTTGCGAACTTGATATCGGATAGTTTTAGAAAAGAGTCTGTTCTGTCTCTTCTCTTTGTACCTCATTACACTCGCCTCTCTTCGTCCCGCCTTCATCTCCTCATCCTCTACTTCTCTTTGTTCATTTCCAATTACTTCTGGCACTCTATGCACAACTGAACTGCTACTCATCAGTTGCCCCTATACAAATCACAATGATAATGTTTGTCATTTTTCAACTCAATTCCTCTGAATTATCTAATTCATTTTGTCATGTTTAACACAATAATCAAACAAGTCCTCTTAATTTGCATCCACAAGATATGAAACTCTACAGTTTGAACTAAATTTTTTTGTCTACACATATTACGGGTTGTGTTTTTACTATTAGCTAGCCAAAAATCATGCAAGTTTATTACATTGCAAAATAAGTTTAACGTCTTTCTAAATAATATTATAAATTTTATTGAGCGGACCTAACTAACTGAAAGGATTAAAAATTAGGACTATCTAGTGCTAGAATTATGATAAAAATTCACACGTGTTTTATTAAGTTTTGACGGAGAGCTACTATTTCTTACTATATGGTTTGATGGAGGTGTAGCCTACAGCTTGCAGACGAATAAAGACGGGGAAAAGGTTGAGCTAATTAAGTAAAAAGTAGGCCCACAAGGGTCAGGACAATTAAAGTGCTCAGCACTTAATATGGTCAGTCCTATACACAGTTTAAACATTAACATCTATCGACCCACCACTTTCACCTTAGATTTAACCACACAACTATCTCCTCCTTCGATAGAGTGTATACGATGATGTTAAATATAATAAGAAAATTATTTGATAGAGTGTATAATTATAATGTTAAATATAATATATTAATAATATATGAATTAGGTATATTTACATCAATTATTTTAATGTATTATTTGATTTGATGTATTAAAAATCATATATATTGTATTAAATAATTTTTTTACAAAGATACTCCATATTTATGATGAAAAAGATGTAAAAAAATTTTGAGGGGCAATTGAATGCATGTACAAAAATCATTGAATTGCTAATACCTAGAAATACATGCAGACCTTAATACACAAGCATTAATTATACATAAATAAATAAAAATATCAAATAAGATACTAGTAATACACAACACTAATACATGCATTATTCTTTCTAACACCGTTAGTAAATAATTCTCATGTGATATTATCAACTGGTAGGAGGCACACATTCTTAGCCCCGGTAAAAATAGTACCATTGTCACAAAAAAAGAAAAAAGGAAAAGAAACTATTCTATTCGATGAAAACAAGAAAATTAAAAACAATCTGCAAAAGCTATAGTAGTAAGAAGAGAACAGGAATTCTCATAGGCCAGAAGAAAGAGAAACACAGACACAAAGCTGAAATTGCCTCGAGGATTCTTATCTTATCTTTTGCAAAATTAAAGTTGCAATGGAACATTTTTCTAAGTCAAATTAAAGCATTTCCCGAGTCACAGGTCAACAACAGTGAACGATTTCTTTACCGTTTGATTTTTCATATTTATGTGAGCCCTAATTTTGTACCCATCCTAGTTTTTCTACTCACGTCAAAGTGGGATTCATATGAATGTGTATGTCATTTACCCTAAATCAGTGTAATTTCACTCTCTATGTCACAGCAGGTTATTAGATACCAATTATTATCTTAAATGAATTATTAATCAATAAATTACCGGCAATCTATTTCTTCTGTAGGTGTATTAGATAGTGAAATATCAATAATATTTCATCAAATCACATAGCTACAACATTACATTATGTTTGGTTCTAAAAGGTTATCCTTTCCGCAAATTAGAAATCGTTTAAATGACCTGATAACATAAATTTAAAAGTAAGGTAAGAAAAACTAACATTTATCGAAAAAGGCATGTCGAAGGCGAGGAAATCGTCATGGATGTCTGGAACAATCTGGGGGGACTGGGACTGAAGGTAAAGTGGACCTTTATCGGACCAAGCATTCAATATTTCGTCATAATCAAGCTTTAGTGACAATTGTTGTTGCCGTTTGTTCCACGGACAACTACTTACTTCTTCATCCTTCCTCGTACTCTCACTATGTTGATCCAAATCAACAACGTCTGAGTAAACAACCCATTTCTCTTCTTCCCTGTTTTCCCTCTCTTTGTTCCTCAGAGCCGTCCGTACAAGCTCACCTTCTTGTCCCCTATAAAAAAAACAAATTTCGAATTTAAAAGAAAATCGATCATATTGTTCCATCGTTATTCGATCTATATTTAATTAAATACTTATAAAAAAAAATGACTCCGGCCTCTAGAGTACCTGTAAGTGTCGGCAAATGTGAGGCTGGCCTCCGATGACGAAACTGCCATGTAATTGGGAACGCTAGTACTTATGTTGCTGTCAATTTCATCCTTTGAAGAAACAAGAACTTCGTTGAGTGTAGTGGCGCTGTTTTCAGCGCCAGCAAAGAAGAGAGCTACGTTGTCATCTTGGGCAGTACTAGTACTGTCTTTATCATCTAATAAATTTTCTGGGTGCAGTGGGAACAGATTGAGCTGTTGATGATCATGTGTGCTACCGTTGGATGATGAAACCATCCTATCATCTGACTTCTGGGGTTTTTTCTCTGATAGCTCCACACTTAGGCTCAGGAACTTTGGTTTTCTGCGCTTCACCTTGTTTCGGCTTTTCGATTTACCATTCTTTGACCGGCATCCGGCATCGGACATATGCATAATAACAACAATTATAATCAATTCACTCTATTAGTGTTTTTTTTTTTTTTTTAAAGAATAGTACTCAAAAAGTGTAATGTTTGTAGGGAAGACTTGTGAATATTTTTATGATGCTTTTGGTGATTGATCAAGAGCAGAAAGGTCAGTGTCGATATCATGTTGCACTTTTTGACACGTGGGGCTCGTTGATTGGACATGAATGAGGATTGTGTTGTTATCTGGATTGCATTGCTGGTGCCTTTAGATATTTTTATTTTTTTGGAGAGGTAAATAATTGAGTAACAATAAGGACTATTCTCGTGATTGAATTAAAGATCTCACCTAATTGCTCTATTAGTTAGGAACTATTAAATTTGGTCTTTAACAAAATCATTAGGTAATAAATAACTTCTTTTTTTTTGTTTCTCTGTTAACATGGATCATTTTTACCACGGTTAAAAAGAATAGAGAAATCAAAAATTTAGTAAATCCTGTCAAACATTAATTACGCTATGGTCTAATATTTTGTCGATAAGTTTGAGAGCAAATATTAGTTGATAGTCTGACTTTGTAGGCAAAGGTAAGTAATTTTTCTAGGGACTATACTTGTACAACTTCACTAATCGAGACAAAATCTGAATAATAAAGTAAAAAGGGTATTAGTGTAAATCAGCCAATTAGTTGGTTCCAGTTTCCAGCCCAAAACTTAAATGGCCCATTAGGGTATAATAGGGCTATACAACATTGTCTCAATGCCCAGGTCCAGGCATCGGCTCTTTTTACCAGCCCATAACTTAAGAAACCATGTCTCAACAATTTTTAAATTGCGAAACTTACATTAATATAATATAATAAAAAAATATTATCATTTATAGCAATATTTTTTTTCATTTGATCACTTTTAATTCATTTATAATACAAATTTAATTCATATTACATAGAACAATTTATTATTCACATATAATACAAGTTTTAATGATAGATAATACATTTATAACACATTTTAATATACTTGTAATACAATGTGTCAATGTTTTACCAAACAAACATAATATATTCCATAAAATAATTATAATTCATATATATTACATACATGATTCACTTTTAATACATATTGCAGATTTAACATAGTATTGCTACAAATTATAATAAATAAAAAATATAGCTAAAATCAGTAATTATTTATTAAAATGTATTATTTCATGTTATTTTTCCTTTCAAATTTAACATTTTTCTTTTCTTACTTTCTCCCTTTTTTTAAAAAATACCTAGTTTACCGATTACGATTTTATTTAGCTTGTCTAATGTATTTAAAAATATTTTGGTAGGAATAACTTATGTTTATGACTTTTAATATATTAAGTTAGTCTACTCTATTTTAGCTTCAAGATTACTTAAATTAACACTTAAACCAAATTAGATTCAATGAAGTATGGTAATAAAACTTTGCAAATTCCTAATTAATTTTATTAACGTCTAGAAAAGAGTTAGTTAGGAGAACAGTACATATGCATATATAGTAAGGGTATCTAATTATAAATCTGTTCTGCACTCTTCCAAGTCAATATGTTCCCCGTGGCCTGTAGGAGAAAATGAAGACTCTACACTTTGAAGTTTGAATTGTAGTTATTTTTCCAAGTAGGTCTTAAGAAAGTTTACCTGCTTCTACATTTTTGGTTTTATGGCCAACTTTTAAAAATAGTATTACGTTGAACTAATTAAAAAATATATTAATATACAAGATACCCTAAAATAAAATTTACAGTTATATTGGATCATTTTCTTCGTCCAATTAAAATATTGAAAAGGTTCTGTGTATTTGTTTTTAAGAACTGAATCTTAATTATTTATATTCAGTTCGTTTATTTTATTTTCTTATAAGCCTCTTAATTGATCTGGATATATCTAAATGAATCAGATCTGTAACACACCCTACGGAACCTATTCTCTTTGATCTAGGACCTTCTAATTTCAAGATTCATAAATTTACTACTCACATGGCAATAAAAGTGAGTATAATTTTCATTTTTTTCAAGTTTAGGTAGAGTGGATTTGAAATAGGATACGTGGGGCCAGAACTTGTAAGCATGTCAAATAACCGATAATTTTGACTTTGCGTTCTTACTTTAACGTCAAACGGTACATACTGTCTCTTTCAATATTTTATTTATCAACATATAGATAAAAACCTTATTTTTACCTTTGATATAATTTGGCTGAAAATGATTTTGGATAACATAACCGTCCAATATTTCTTTATAAAAAACTTATCATCTGGTTGATTATAATGAACTTAGTTTTGTTTTTATGTGGAATTATTTGGTGCTCAAAAAGAACATAATGTTTTGTGATTACTTATATGTTTTTTTAAAAAAAAAAATCAAATCAATTAATTATAACTATTGAGAAAAACTAAATTGTGTTAAAAACAGAGCAAAATAAAGCAGTCAATAATCACACATAAAACAGAAATTATACTTTTTGTCGTGAATTTGGTTATATAGCACCATTCCTTAATTTATGGGGGAAAATACCACTTATTTCGGTCCCCAAGAGTTCGAAAAAAAGAGATTTACTGTTCTCGTTTGACTTGTTATTGTTTTGTGAGGAAAATATAAATGTATAAAGAATTCATAGAATTAATATGTTGACAAATATTTGGACACTGTCACAAAGTATTAATTAATTTTCATGAATATTGTGTTGCCACATTCTTAGTAACCAAATCAGAAATCACTTCATTATCTAATTAATGTTATAATGATAAGAGCATGGCAACTGGTAATTTCTAGTAACAGATCAATCTGTTTCGCAAGACTTCTTATTCCCTCCATTTTTTTTTTATATTTCATTTAGTTGGTTCATAGTATATGTTACTTTATAAAATTAATTTATAAATTATAATTATTTTTTTTATCCTTATATGTTAATTAGTTTTTAGAATATGTATTTGAACACACCAAGTGAATAATTTATAGTTAATTTGTTAAACTAATTCATATTTATTTATTGATTTTTTTAAAAAAATAAAAATAAAATAATAAATTTATTTAAAATGTTAATGCACTAAAAATAAAAAAATAGTAACATATAAATAGGAATAGGAAATTTTCTAATTCCCTCATTACGTAAAAGTATTTATTTTACCCACGTCATTTAAGACCACCTAGAGGTACTTGTCTATACTTGGGTGTATATATATATATATATATATTCTTCCATCTTAAAATATTTTTATATTTTTATTCTCCAAAACAAAATATAACTAATATTTTGTTATGGGGAAGTAATACTTTAAAGGTACAACCTTTTGAAATCGGTTAAATCACATCCAGTAGGTAGAATTTTTTATAATTTGACACTGAATAGACCTTAACATTAAATAGTTTAAGAGTATATATACAATATTAAAATGGTAGGAATAAATTCCTGTAATTATTGTTGATTAATGGCATGAGGTTAAAACAAAGCACGCCGCTTAAACAAGTTTTTTGTTTACCAATTATCATTATGGTCGCCGTAATCACATGCAGTGTTTTTTTTAATTAGTCTTTGCATAATTCCCTCTTTTTCAACGGGTGGGAAGCCAAATAACATAGAATACTCCATCACATTATTACATAATGTATTACCATTAGCTGAATAGATATTAAATTTTGGTGGGAGATTTGAATGGTATAATTTTGATTGGAGTATTTTTTTTTTATAAAAAAAATAATAATATATTTTTCCATTTTAAATTAGTTGTTAGATTTCATTAGATTTAAATTATTGAATATTAAGTTGATCTAATACATTTTAACATTCTCTAAGAAAACGAAATATAAGTATGGATGAGATATATTATTAATATAGAAACTAGAAACTAACCTAACTATCAAAACTACCCAGTGGGAATCCAAATGAGAAATTATGAATCAATTGAGGCCCACTTATAGTTTAATCACGCCATTCATCCCGGATACTTTCTTCCTTTATAAACCCCTCTCCCATTTCTTCATTATTTACTCAACTCAACACAATATATTCTTTTCTACCCCCACACCATTAAAAATATGTCTACTCTTTTCTTCACATTTTCCCTCCTTCTTCTAGCACCACTACTCGTAATTAGTTCAATCCAAGATCCAGAACTTGTTGTACAAGACGTTCATAGGTAACACAAAAACCACTGCCGACTTCTATTTTTATTCAATTTATTAGTATTTACTAATTTTATTTTGGTTATTTTGAACAGGAGCATCAATGCGTCATTGACGAGGAGGAATTTGGGCTATTTATCGTGCGGATCAGGGAATCCAATCGATGATTGCTGGCGATGCAACCCCAATTGGGAAAAAAATCGCCAGCGTTTAGCTGATTGCGCCATTGGGTTTGGAAAGAATGCTATCGGAGGAAAAAATGGCCGAATTTACGTGGTTACTGATTCAGGGAACGATGACCCCGTGAACCCTAAACCCGGAACCCTGAGACATGCTGTTATACAAGACGAGCCTTTATGGATTATTTTCAAAAGAGATATGGTCATTCAGCTCAAACAAGAGCTTGTCATGAACTCTTATAAGACCATAGATGGTCGTGGTGCGAGTGTTCACATTTCAGGTCAAAAGCAGATCCAGACTTGATATTTCATTATTTTCTAAAAATTTATTATATAGTCGATTAACATTGTTTCAGGTGGTCCGTGCATTACAATCCACCATACCAGCAACATTATAATACACGGGATTAATATACACGATTGTAAACAGAGTGGTAACGGCAACATTAGGGACTCACCAAACCATTCCGGATGGTGGGATGTTTCTGATGGTGATGGTATTTCAATTTTTGGAGGGAAAAACATTTGGGTGGACCATTGTTCGTTGTCTAATTGCCACGACGGTTTAATTGATGCAATTCACGGATCTACAGCAATCACGATATCTAACAACTATTTCACTCATCATGACAAGGTGATGTTGTTGGGACATAGTGATTCTTTTACACAGGACAAAGGCATGCAAGTCACAGTTGCTTTTAATCATTTTGGTGAAGGGTTGGTGCAAAGAATGCCAAGGTGCAGACATGGTTACTTCCATGTGGTTAATAATGACTATACTCACTGGGAAATGTATGCCATTGGT